TGAACCAAAATAAGCTTTTCTTTTAAATTATGAGGTTTGGAAGTTTTGTCCAACAACAGAAAAGTGAACAGTTCAGAAAATTTCCAATAGAGAAGTGGGGTCATTACTGTAACTACACATGACCATGGGGCTCAGAAGCCTTTGTAACTATTTCTCAGGAGGAATGTGTGATTTGGTGATGTGGGCTTCAGACTCCTAGAAAGCTATAAACAGAGACTGATAGATGATTATCACAGTAGCTCAGAAGCTCTGAATGTTAAACAGAATTTAGAATAAAAATTGTACTCAAGAAGCTTTAGACTTCTGATGGAAAAAGAGAATTCTTTTGACAATTGGACAAGAGACCAAAATGCTATATTCTTACAAATCATTTTTCTACAGTTTATCCACACGCTAAAATTATGTAAGGTGGAGTTCAAGGATGATGCATTAATTGGTCTGGTGGAGCAAAAATACTATAAGACCAGCATCCCTGCCTGCTACGAGATCCTGAGAGGCTGCTGAGTCCCTGGGAGTGGAGTGAAGCTGCAGTGGATACCACAGAAACTTGGAGATGCCAGGAAAATGGAACATGGTCCAAAAAGTTATGAGCAAGGAGCAGAACCAGCAGAAGAATGAGGTCATGGTGTATTTGAAGATCAAATGTATTTGAAAGATATAAGGTTATTGAGAGATTAATCATAGTTTAAAGATGTGTAATTAAGTGTCAAATTGATAAAGTGATAGTCTTCAATCAGTTGAGCTTCACTGTAGTCTTGACTGGACTGAGAGACCCCGGGGGAGGTGTTAGATTGTGAGGGCAATAACTTCATTAAAACTGAGTTTGTATTTGAATGGGCTTTTAGGACTTGGGGTATAGTTTAAGAAAATGGGTCAAGAGAGCATAACCTTGCGGACTATATTAGTCACTGAAACTTTTTTCTTTGGCTCTTTGTAATCTGCTCTGCTTTCCAAATGCCATGAGTGTAGCAGCTTTCCTCTGTGATGCTTTTCCACCAGGGGGACTGAAATCTCTGAAAGTATGGGCCAAAATGAAGCTCTGTGAATTTAGATTGTAAATGTGAGAAATTTTTGCCCCCGAACAGAAAAGCGACAAATGTGATTCTCAAACAATCATAAAATTCAGATATCTATCTACCTAATATATTGTATGCTCTAAATACATTAAACACTAACAATCAGTAAACTGAACATTTTCAGTAAGAATATATATATGTATATATATATACATATATATATATATATTCATCTATATCATATATAATGTATATTTATTTTTATTCTTAACAACCTAGACCGTGCAAGTGTCATAAAGACATCTACAAAAATATGTTTAATATTTGGAAGCCTCTTGATAAGAGTTTTAGTTTTCAAGTTATAAAACTTTTTTCATACTTGAATTCACAAAACAATTATATAATGCAGAAACAAATGCAGAATCATTATATGTATTTTAATATGAGTAAATGGCGAGTGAGAAATAAGTGACATACCCAAATTCACATAAAAGCTAATGAATATTCTTAGACTAGGTCCTCTAATTCAATTTCAGTATTTAGTTGTTCAAATCTGGAATGTTCCCTGAAAGTCCACATGTTAAAGGTGATTCCTGAGACTGGGAGGCTGTAGAAACAAGAGTTGGGGCTTGGTGAGTGCTGTGCAGTCATCATGAACACATGCTCTGAGGAATTATGACTCAGGCTGTCTCTCTGTGCTCACGATGCGAGCAGGGTTACTTCACCACAAACTTCATGCAGTCTTGTGCTGCCCTGTCCTCATCAGAGGACTGAAACTATTAAGTCTTTCTCATCTAGACTGCAATCTCTAAAACTGTCGGCAAAATTAAACCTTTTCTTTTCACAAACTGACAATCATACCTTAATTGACTAATACATTTATTTCACCGCCCCTCATTTCTGAACTATGGTGGAGAGATTTATGCATTCCAGTTAATACCTCCATGAGATACTCTTAGAAACTGGTTCACATTTATTTACTATTCTTACCATATTGAGTTTTTGTTAGAAACATGTTTTTCTTACTTTCATGCTATTCTGTTACTTAAAATGAAACATATTTAAGGAGACGTGGAAGCCAATCTGAGAAAAAAAACTGTCAATTTGCCTATTTATTAAAGAGTGATAGATTTTTGAAAACAATAAAATATACAACTTAAATAAAAGTTATCAAATAAATGTTTCCTAGATGTGAATGTATGGGCTAGTAACTAAAGCAATGATTTCCTTTATTTTTTAGCCTTGACTAATAACAGTTCTTAAAGCAAATCCCACAATTACTATTATACTTCATATTGTATTGAGACAATATACTAGGTGTTATAATATCTATTAAGTACATTTAATAATATGTTACCATGGTGATATAAAATTTCATATTTTTAAACCACTTAGAAATTTTGAATTATTCACATTTTACTTTTAAATAATAGAATTTAAATTATGCAAACATCTGAAGTACTATTGAGTACTTTGAATATAAGCATTTTACTATTTAGCCACAAAGAAAGATAAATTTGAGTTTTTAGGAAAACGATTGCATTCTGAGAACAAAATGTTAAATGACATTAAACAAGTGCACAAGTTGAATACCACATGGCTTTTCTTATATGAGTTAGGAAAAATGTATAAAGCAAAATAAATGATAGGTAATAAGAATTAGGAGGATAGATCTTTCTCAGTGGAGAAGGGGATCCCCAGGTGGAAGGGAAGGAGTACTGTAAAAGGAATTAAAGTGTGTTATGTACTTGTAATAATTCTGCACAAGACATATAAATAGTATATGTACTATATGCGTATACAAAGTAGGATAAAAATAAATATAATTTTGGAATGTCTTTAGTAGTATTACTTAAAATGTAGTTAACTGAATATAACTAAATTTCATGGGCAATGTTGCATTTGTAAATCAATTTTTAAATTTTCAATTTAGACAAAAAGTACATTTAGCTACCAGGACTCATTTAATTTTACATAAATATTAATCTCTTTGAGACTGTGGCAAATCTGATTGGTTTTCAATGTGAAATTAAAATGCAAAAAAAAAACTTCTCTTGGGCTTACTTATGAATAGAATTTTTCACTAATCATTATTTAACAGAGAGCTGTATGATGATCAGTATTTGACATTTTCATGTGGTAGATTTCAAAGCTTGAAACTACAAAAAGTAGGTCCACCCCAAAATACTGTTTATCTTGGAGTCTTGCAAACTTTGTCTCTGTGAAAAGAGCAAACTTAGCAGCAACCCTTTGAATTCTATTCCTCTGTTGTAATCTGCAAGTGACAGAGCCACAGCCACTGCTAGTGAGTAGCCTAGCAGCAAATGGGAAAATAAACAGGTTAAAATAAATTAAGAAAATTTATTTATCTTTAAAACATGTTTTGATGTAATTACTGTTAACTTTATCACTGAATAACAAGTACTTATATTTTGCAATGTTGTTGAAAAGTAAGCACAAAATATTCATTGTAAAAATGTTACTATAGCGTGAGGGCAACTACTGGCAAGGCCGAGGGGTATGGGGAAGAGGGCCCCCCTCACCAAAGCCGGCCTTGGCTCCCTACTCACTCAGAACTACGAGAAGGGCACCCCTTGACTCTGGAGGCGCAGGCACGTTTTTAACCAGCAAGAAAAAGTCACCCAGGACTGGCATTTCTGGAGCAGAGCAGGGTTTGGGGCTCCCGTGAGGAGCCAGGACCCCTCAGCGCTGCCCTGTCCTCACTTTGACCATTTTCAGGTTGCTGTTAGAAGAATCGGTCCCGCAGCCCCGCGTGCCCAGGCGGTGCCAGGCATGCACTAGTCTGAGCCCCAGAGTTTGGGGTCATTGTTCCCACTGCCTGTCAAGGAGCTGCCCGGCCTCCTGCACACTCTACAGCTCCTCTGGTCTCGGCCTGCCTGCCCCAACCCTAGTGACCCTCTCTCAATCCCAGGAACTGGGCTGTCAGAGGCCCAGGATTTTATGATTCAATAAAATCACCAATAAGCTGGTGATATATTAAATGTTCATTTTTCTAGTATTACAAATAAGTTTATGCAATAAGAAATAATTTATAACATTATCTGATCACAAATAATAGAAATATTCCTTTAAAACTCAGTAAGCATTTCTATGTGCATCTGAAAAGAATATGTACAAAGCAGATTTATTTGCAATTTTGTGAGGTCTTCCTCTGATCTTTATAGTATTTATTCTTGAATCTTTACTACTCACATGTAGTGATTTAAGAGTACATTTTCCTTTTAAATACACTAATGTTTTTCATCATGTAAATAATATTTGAGTAAAAATTGTGGCTTTAAAAATAGCTTTCATACTTTAAAGAATTTCAAAATTTTCAATAATTGAGGCAAACCTAACTAAATTACTTTGTATTTTATTTCATTTGCAAAAGTCAGACAGGAAGCATATAAAACAGAATTATGACGCAAAAATTTTTATAGTAATTTAAAATTTACCCATTCCAAAATAACCCAAAATGGACTGTTCATTATAAGTATAGTTCAATTGATTTTCAAAATATTTATTCAAGTTTTTCAAAGGTAAACTGTCATAGTTTTAAAAATTGGTCCATTTTACAATCACAGTATTGGAATGATTTTGATACCTGTCTAGGCAATGTAAAATTATTAAAACTCATGTATGTAATTGGATTCATAAATTGTGATTGATAACTTAAAAGATATGAAGAGGCCTCTTCATCCTGTGTTATCTATAATTTGGTATATTCGTAGAACAAATTTCAGGTCATAAATTTTAAAACGAGAAGTTTTTACCGCTCAGAAAATAGTATATTTACTTTTGGCTCCCTAATGCTGCTTATAAAACTAGATATAATTAATTTTGTACTCTGCCACATGTAGGTTTCAAGATAGCCATGAACACTGGAGAAGGCAACAGGGTATCTATAAAACATGTAACAGTACAGATTTGGAGGAACACTTGACACAAGTTGTTGGAGGGGGGAGATATCTGTCCACTTACCTAGTCTTAGTTGCAAAGCAGAGGAGGAAAGATAAGTCCTTCTATTTTAGAAACACCATATTCTAACCATCTCCAGGAATGAAATGTGTGCGAAAGCCTGGAATATGATCAAAGTAATTTAAAAGATACTTTTGCAAAGTCAGCAATGAGAGAACTTTTACGATAACCAAGCAAGACAAATATCACCTGAAAATTCATGGCTATTGTTTTATTTATGTGACCTTAGTCTTAGCCAGCTTTGGTGCTACAGGCCTCTAATTTCGGCTTTTGAGAGGGTAAAGAGTCAGGAGGATCACCATCCCAGGCCACTTAGTAAGAGCTTTTCTAAAAATTAAATTTGAAATTTGGCTGGGGATATAGTTCAGTGATTCTTGAGATCAATGTCCAATACCACAAAATAAACAAAACAAAACATACAATATTTTAAATCCTTGAGTTTTAGGAAAAATAACTCTCCTGAAGTCTGAGGAGATATTGGACGAACCTATGAGAGAAGTGGTCAAGAATCAAAAAGAGAACAAGGCCCCACAGGTGACATATCAGAGCTCATGTTCACAAACCTCATCAAGCAGCCATAAAAGTCTACCTGGAGACCTGAGAAAGCACTATTCAGGTTATTAACCAGAAGAAAGCAAGAAAAGGAAAGGTACTAAACTGTGATGACATTATCATGGATCCTTTTCCTCCTTAGGAAAGCCTTAAACTAAAAGCAAAGCAAAAATATTTTAAGGAAATAAAATATTGTACAAATATCTCCCATTGATATAGACAGAAATAAACAAATACTGCTTTACAAAATTTAGGATTTATAAGAGAGTATCATCATGATGTGAGTGAAGCAAGGCTAGTCCAACAATGAGAAATAAATTATTTACCGATTAAAAGACTAAAGATGGTTAATGGCAAATTTGTCATACATGTGGGACAAAGAGGAAAAGATTAAAAAGAATTATAAGTTGGAATTATTTTTTCAAACACCTATTACAATGATGTTTTAATATTCATATTCAAAATCAGAGTTAAAGACCTAGTGAGGCCAATAAGTAAATGAAAAAAAAAAAAATAGGGTAAACATGTCAAACTCCAACCTGTATATGTGAATGCGTGTTAGTTATAGTATCAATTGTGTCTCAATAAAATGATCAAATAATTAAGCGAATAATCAGCAAAAAATAAATGAACTAGAATTAAAAAGCAGAAAATTGATTATGTAAAACTACTTGACAGTTGTACATGGTACTATTTTAATGTAAAATATATCAATAAATAGAAAATGAGAAAAGATGTCACTCTTTGCAAATGAGATGATTATCCAAATAAAATAGCAATAAAAATCCAAAACATGTTTACAATCCAGTGATAAGCTGTAAGAAACAAAATCAGTATATAAATTATATATGTGAAATATCCATTATCACAGGAAAACCAGTGGAATTCTTACCCATAAATCTAGAAAATGTCTGTGAGAGACTTGTGTTGAAAATAATAAAACTTCCTCTTCCGTAGTCCTCTTGGTGTTTGTTATCCCTGTGTTCTCTGGGCTTCCTCTTGTGACATTCCAGCTTACTAAACATTTTTCACACTTACAGATAAGAAAATTAAACAGGTTTTCATTGTACTTTCATCCAAGTAGTCCCTGCTGTCCTTCTTATTCTTTAATGATTATGCTGTCGGATGGTGAATCAGCTGTGTATTGAAGTTATAAATGTGACATAAGGCGCTTTTATGAAAACCATTTTGCATATCTACATCTTCTTCCCTGCATTTTGTTCTGGCTTCTACTCAAAAACCTAATGGACTGGGAAAGCAATAAGGACCCAAGAAAGATTTGAAAGTTTTATTAAATGACTACTTTTTAAGCCATGCAAGGAAACAATAACTGTCACAAAAGTCTTCAAAATCTGAGGTATGAAAAAGAGTGGGGTTATTGACCACCAAAAAAAAAAAGTGCAAAACAAGACAAGAAAATCTTGCACAGAAAGAGCCTGAGAACGTTCCACAAATCTGCTGCTGCTCCAGGGGAGCAGGAGAAATGAAGAGCGAGGCTTGGCTATGAAATCCTTAGGAAATCTGAGGATGAAATGAGAAGCAATACACACATAAGGCTGAAGACTGGAGCCCATGGTAGGGCCACACATGAAGCGAAATCATGCTCAAAGGACCAAAACAGAAACAGCAAATGGCATCTTTCAGCTGACAACCTACACTCAAAGATGGTTGTTACCCTGCATTCATTAGATGACCTCACTATGTCAGACTCTGCAATGAGTCATTGAAAAGGCTTAATTCATGTTTTATGAAACAAAAGCTGGTCGAAACAGTAGAAGACAGGATTTTCTTGGTGTGATGATTAGTTTTTTCCTCCAAATGTGATGGGGATTTCCTTATGAATTAAGCTTAAATATCATAATTGATCATGTATTTTTTCTGTATATTACTTTTTAGGCTTGTGAAAAGTAGTAAGTGTTTTCACAGTTATACCTTTTTCAAATAACCACAAGTAAGAAATTCCAAATATTTTAAAAGACTTACCAAAGTAGAGGGTCTTTGAGTTTGATCCCCATACTGAAAAAAAAAAGAAAAAGTAGAGGGTAGTATAAGAGAATGTATAACACTGTGATAGAAAAAAAACCAATTGAAATTTAAGAGGGAAATATAGAAAATCAGAGTGCCTTTGGGGACTAAATTGTATATTAGTGAATCAAGGGAATTTCTATGAATCAAGTAATTAAACAAAGGCTTTAAATTCTGAGTAACTCAACAATTCAGTCACTCTACGTGGAATCAGAACTTACATTTTTTTTTAAAGATGTGTTTGCAATTTCTTTGGGAATCTGAAAGCTGGTCTTTTCAGGCTGATTAAAAAAAAGTCAGAGCTGAAAGATGTGTGTCTCTTTAATTATTTCAGGAGGAACTGTTCCCGGGGCTTAGGAGGGTATTCCTGATCCACCTTTTTGCCTAGTAATGTTGGAGGGGTCTTCTTGGGAAGCTCCAGAACATTCTCCATGAGTCCAGCCCCAACGCACTGCACCACCTGTGCCGTTGGTACGTTACAGCGGAGCCTACACAGCAGCTGCCCTGGTGGGGAGTCAGGAAAAGCTGAGAGGCCGGGTCCACGTGGAGGTTCCCGACTGGTAGGATTTTTCTACTTCTGGAAACATTCTGTTACTGTAGATTTTCCTCAGGGTAGGAATGGCAGCAATGTTTTGCCCTCAAGCTGTAGAGAGACTCTCAGATACTGTTACTAAATGTTAGTAACAAGATATTGTTACTAACACTGTGGTAGTGTATTGTTATCTTCTCTACACTGAGGACACTCTGGTGCAGTTGCTAGACCAAAACAAAGCCAAACTGAAAAAACAACAAAAGAAAATTCTTGTCATCCAGGAAAACACTGAATGTCCAGTTCTGCCAGTGATTAAAATGGTAAGCCTTTTAATTGGTCCCAAGTATAAACATGCTCATTTGGCCAGTCAAATTCCCAACCAGCATTAATAACGCTAAAGTCATTTGCTCATCTACATTTTTAATGGACTTACTCATCTTGGTATTATTTTATTCTTGTCTACATTTTACACCATAATTTTCTCCATATGTGAAGTCAACAGAAAAGTACTCCAGGTTTTGGCTTTTAAAACACCAATAGGCACTCTGTCTATTGTATCCACTTACAAACAAACATCTCTCTGTGCATGTAGAGTTTCAAGAGGAGTGCAGCTGTTCCTTAGTTCAAATGAAGATTTACATCTTAGCCTGATGCTGGTGTAACAAGTGGACTTTAGGATTTGACACAGGTAGTTAACTTTAGTTCAGGGAACACCAAGATGATGAACTCAAATTTTATTAATTTTGGCAGGCCTCATAACAAATATTATCAGTTTGGCCTGGAATCAGATAATGTTAGCAGGCCCAGTAGGGAAGCAAACAGATTACACAGAGAAAAAATGAAGACCAGGTGGGAAGGAGGCAGCAGCTGATACAGCTGTGCATTTAAGACCCTCTCTACTGAATTACCTTGGCCTTTATTCTGTTTTGCCTCGTTAGGCTAAACAGCATGATTTTTCCCACCAGCACAGCTGCACCTGAGGAGCCTGCGCAGGAGCATCCTGACTGTCTGCCTGCACTCTCGGGCTTACCTGAGGCTCTCTGTTCATGACTACTAGAAACTGAAAATTTTCATTTCTAATTTCATGATAAAACCCGAGAACGGTATCTGTTAACTTCTTCATCTTCTTTAAGTGGAACTCAGGTCCTTGTTCTTTGACACAAAGTATATTAGATAATTACAAAGGAAAAAATACAGGTTTTCCAGGTAAAGAATCAAGATGATTGTGACATATCCGAGAGCATTTTTCTTTCTGCATGTCTCTTCTACTTCATTTCATTTTTACTGCTTCCTTCATATTGTGCAACTTTCTTTTTGCATGCACAGGGATCCTTTGCTGTTGCCCGACAGCATGCAGTGCTGTTGCATTTGGCTTGATATCCACCTTTGTCTATCACTGCAGTCTTGTCTTCTGTTTTCTGCTGTTTCTTAGCTGACCTCTCCGCCTGTCCTTTGGGTTACAGATTCTCACTGAACAGCTCACACAAGTATAGATGTTCCCTACAAACAAGAGAATTGTAAGAACAGCAAAAGAATATAATACAGTAATTTCAAAATATATTTTAGTAGCTAAACACACCACTAATATCATCAAGTATTGTTAGTTCTGTCCAGTCAAATGGCTACAATCATTTCCCTCCTAAGTCACATTTCAAATTAAACCTTGTATGTTTCCATGTCTCTGCACTATGTTGTCTTTATGTTTGCCTCTATTTTTCTCTACTTGCTTTAATTATTTGTTATAAAAATACAGAAAAAGTACATTAATTCTTCGTAGTGTTGTAGTTTAATAGGTAGTAAAGAATATGTTCTGGTGTCATTGGTTATCCCCAGAGTACTTCACAATTAGTCTGAAATTTTAGCTAAATTTCATAAAATTCAGACAATTTCCAACTATTTGATAGATACTCTGCTGTGCTCACAAAGGACATTGTCTTTGTTTATAGCTTAAATATTTATTTGGTGAAAAAGTGACCTATCTCACAGTTATTTATCCTTCAGAAAAGAAAATCCTTTTATCTTCCCTTAGCATGTCTGAGCCCATTCAATGACAACTTGGTTTCCATCTATGAGTATTACAACTTACCTCTTTTCTAAATAGGATATGTATGTAACTTTCCTTCTTGAATGCCATTTTTATGCCTTGACTTCCTTGAATTCTGTATAATTAAATATATTTTTCCATAATTTTACTTTTTACACCCTTATTGCCTGTACTATGAGAAAAGTACATGATACACTCACAAAAAAATATGTGTAGCAATTTTGATTATTGATTCAACCTGGTATTCCTAGATGGAGACAAAGTTAGAGAGAATGTAAGGATAAACATTAATGAATGAATTTTTTAAAACTATTTGCTTTTTCCCTCCTTGGATTTCAGGATGTATTTAGAGGAGGAAATGAAGATTTCATCTACCAGACATTATCCACACATCTCCCAGAAGGCAATAGTGGAAAAAAAGGGCACACGAATGCTTTGTCTATGACTTCCATTCTACCATGTGATTAAAATGTCACCACCAACTGAAAAAAGAATGAGGAGAAGCCAGTAGGAGCCAATACTTACAATAATTTGAACCAGGTATGTCAATCCAGCAAAATTCACTAACAGCAAATGTTCCGTGGGTCTCTCTTGCTCCCTAAAACCTTGCAGTGTGTCGACTAGAGAAATTTAGCAGCTTATATGGATAACTCAGCACTTCTACATCCTACAGTGTAGAGGACATGCCCTTAGGGCTCTAGGATATTGTCTGTGTCAATTTGAAAAGTTTAGAAGTTTAAGGGACTCAGCAGGTGGTCAGGGTCCTCACTTGGGAAAAGTTCTGAGACTGTGCAAGAGAGGGGCAGAGGGTGTGAGTGTTAGACCAGCAGAAGGTGGAGAGCTTGCATACAATATAAGAGAGGAAAAGAGGTTTGTTCTCCCTTTTTTGCTGTTGTTGCTTTGTTGTCTTCTGCAGCCTTGAACTGTTGCCCCTCAGTCAGGCCACCTCCCTTGGAACCAGCTGATTATGGACTGAAACAAACTGTCTGCCATATCAGGTGGTCAGAAAAGGAAGAAGAGCGGCACACTTTTAACCAACTACCAGAGTCTAGGTATCTGTGAAGTGCACTTATTTCATCTCTAAAGTCTATGTCTGATGTGCTTGGGAGATGGCAGGTGTTATGTGCCTGAAAATGATCTGAAAAATAGTTATCCTCCTTGGTCTTTCTGCTTGGGTTTCTTGTTATCTACATACAATATTTGTGTAGGGAAGCATTTGCTTACCAAAATTATTATCCACTTTGTAAGTTTCAGAATAAATGTAAGAATATTTAGTTAAAGTGTTAATATTTATGTAATTTTAAAATTATTATGCACAAAAATGTACATCAATGAAAACATATTACAGTAGGTTAAAGTGCAATAAAACTATGACATCATTTTTGACAATAATAAATTTTTAAGGTGATAATGAGGATTAAATCAAAAGCTATTTTCATGCAAGGTACGTGTTTTACCACTAAACAACATCCCTAAGTCAGAAAAAATAATGTTTTAAAAATACTTGTATCTATTAACGTATAATGCTATAATGAAGTACAATGCAAGTATTTATGATGGAATAGAATGTATGATTATTTGAATAGGAAGGTCAGCTAAAAGTACTTCATGTGAAGTATTATGTTTATACTATGTGCTTCATTTTAAACATTTACATTTTTCTTTAGTGAGGACTTAGACTTCACCAGAGAGTATCATTATAATACCATCAAATATGGGTTTCTACTCCTGAAAGTTAAACAAAAACGTTTAATGAAAAAGTAAAGTGTTCAGTAAAATATCAAACCAACAGAAAAAAATTTAAATTATACTTTGGTGTGCCTGTCTTATCTATCTTCCTTTCAGAGCATTTTGCTACTCTCAAAATTATAAAATTTTACCAACAATATCAATTAGTTCTCACACACCAAAATTTATTTAATTTTTTTCATTTGTCATATGCATAAGAAAATTGATATCTGAAGCAAAAAGACAGTTATATTAAACATCAATCTATATTTAAAGAAATACATATGTGATTTGTTAGAGTCACAGGAAATAAAAATCTCATTATATGTACAATATTACATACTCAGGAAAGAAGTCAGCAGTTCAGATCAAAATTTATGTATGTTTACATTTACTGCAGCATTGTAGATAAAAAAAATCAGTGTAACTACTTACATGTGTTTTTATTTTTCTACCAACATTTCACATCTTCCATAAAAAGTATGACACAATGTATTACATATTCATTATGAATAAGTTGTGATTTGTATTTATCAAGAAATTTGGTTGGTATAAAATTATAATACAGTAGTGCTACAAAAATTAATAGGGAAACAAAGTTTTTGATTTATGTGTCTACCTTTATGACAAAAATGTGAAAATTTGACATAAGGGAAAATTGGAAGCTTCGTACACAGCTGCTGAGACCTCATGAGACCATGAGGGGTTGTAGCTGCTATTGCCATTAGTCTGCAGGACCCAAAGTCTCAAACCAAGAGGCACCAGCAATTCCACATCTAATTAAGTAGACAGAAATGCCAACAAAACTTGGAGGCAAAAATTCATTTCCATGTCAGGTTTTATTGCTCCGTGGTGATGTTTAATTCATTTTCTTATTGTAAATTCCACTGAGGTTTTTCAATAAGAGTGAAATAGGCCATGAAAGTCTTCTGCTATCACTGTGGAGCTGTTTATTTTCCTTTTAATGCAAAATCTTCAAGCAACACAACTGTTCACCAATTGTTGAATTAATTTTTAATATATTATATAGGAATATGATGCAATATTGTCATCACTAAAAAAGAATGAAGTTCTAATAGGTTCTATCACATGAATGTACCTTGTAAACATCATGTTAAGCGTAACAAATCAATTATGATAGGGGATCTTTTGTATGTTTCCATTAAATGAAATATACAACAGACAGACTTAACCAGACAAAAAAGTATGCTATTATTTTTCCAGGGTTGTATGTTGGAGCTTGTTGAAGGAATTCCATGAGGAAAAAGATGTCCCTGTTAGTGTGCATTTATCTTTTCTTACTGGTAGGTTATATTTGTAATAAAGTTAGATTTTGATAGTGATTGAAGAATCATGGGAACTTACTAAAATTATTCAATTTTCCTTTTAAAATAGATTGTATATCGATGAAATGTCTAAAAACTAAAAATATTTAATTTCAAAATCATTATAGTATTTTATAATTCTGATTACTTTTATTTATTTATTTAATTTTGGTACTTGGTATCAAACTCATGACCTCAAGCTTGCCAGGCAAGGGCGGTGCCACTGAGCTGTATCCCCATCTGATTAATTCTAAATGATATATAAAGCTCAACAGTGGATAAAATCTCTTTTAAACATGTGGAAGCCATTAACATAAAATACATTTAGTATAATTACCATGAAACTGATAAATATTAAATAAAAATTCTGCCTCATTCTGCACAATCCAACATTTAATGCCTGAGAATTCTACATACTGAATTTTACTGAAGTTATAACAACTATAATTACTTCATAATAAAAATTCATCTAGCAATTATGTCTGAAGATATTTTTTTATACAATAATATACAGCTAAATCTGTTTATTAAAAAGTCACTGTTTCTTGAAAACATCACAGTTACCCTTACCTAACATTATCCACAGATGTAGTAAGGCTCTGTATTGTTTTGATTATCAAGCTACTATTAACTTATGCATAACTAGCGATACCCATATGGAAAAAATGCAGTTTGAGAAATCCTGCTGTGATAATTGAGACATGTTCTGTATTGATCCAGGAAGTACTTGGCTTATAATTTAACATTTTCCAGTTTGATATAACAAAATAAGCATTCACTAAACTGTTCACCTACACAGGGAACCATGATCTTTCAATTACACTGAAGTTTATTGAGGCCATCAATAGTAGTGATTTGTAAGGTCAAGAGGCTCAAACTTCTAACTCTGTGTTGGAGATCTAGTCACAGATTTTGTGGATGAAAATATAAAGGAAAGTAAAGATGTAAAAATTATAATTTATATTTTATGATTTGAAATTGTCTGGAATTTAAATCAACTATTTTTCATAGTATCCTCTTAATGTTTATTAGCTGTAAAAACTGTTTTTCATTCTAGTGAAGTTTCAAAATAACAGGACAGTATACTTTTTTGATTTCTAACATAGGAGAACCCATGTATTTCATTCATTTTCATGCAAAGTACTACTTTTATAACTGATATTGTTTATTTTTAATGCACAGCGGTATTATATTTGGTAGTATTTTTACTTAATTAGCAAAATATCATTGTTAATTTTACTACTTCATTATCAAAAGACTATGATATTAATATTATAAGTAAACACATATACAATCAAACATAAATCAGGAAAAGTTAGTAATAAATGATCCTTAAAGAATCAAATGAATATTGTATTAGTTACTTTTCTTATTGCTGAAACAAAATGCCTGACACCCAAAGT